CATTTGAATCTTTGAATTCCTATAGGTGAATTTTGTTTTCATGGAAAGTCAAATCCGAAATTCTATTTATTTTTTTTTAAGTTTTAGAATTTATTTATTTATTGTGAGAGTGAGTGCATGATGCAGATGTGGAGATCTGAGGACAAATTGTGGAAGTAGGTTCTCCCCTTCCACCATGTGGGTTTCAGGAAGCCAACTCCAATCATCAGACTTGATGGTGGGTACCTCTACCCTCTGAGTCATGTTACCAGCCCCCCAAATCCTATTTTTTTATTTCTATTTTTTAGTAATGTTTTCCCCATACTCTTCCCCATCTTCAAAATTTAAAGTGTGTTACCCTGGTGTGCGTGACGCCTGAAACCACCATTTTGTACACTATTCTCATTCTCTCTCAACCTTTCTTCTTTTTAAAAATATTTTAAATTCTTTGAATGTTCCACACATTTACACAATGGATATTGATCATATTCACCCACAATTCCCTCCCACCACTCCCCTTGATCCCCCCATCTCCCTCCCAGCTTCATGTCCTCTATTTACTTTCTGAAGCTGCTAATATCCCCCTGAAACCAACCAGCACCATCCATATGCACATGGGTGTGGGACCATCCAGTGGACCATGAACAACCTGCCAGTGGCCATATTCCCAAAGGAGAGTGACATTCTCCCTTAGCAGCCATCATCAACTAATAACTCCTCTGAGGCAGTGGGGCCTCAGGGCCCCCTCCCCCATCCATGCTGGAATTTTCACTGGCTTGATCTTATACAGGTCGCCACAGCTGGCTGTGTACAGCAGTCATGTCGCATCCAGAAGTCAGCATTTCACGACTGTCATTATCTACCAGCTCTTACATGCTTAACAAGCCCTCTTCTGTAAAGTTCTCTGAGCCTTGGGGATATACTCGGGGTTAAAGGTTTAAGTGGAGTTAGGGAAGAGGAGAAAGTTGGGGGTAGGTTAGCCAAAACCAAAGAGATATGAAGAAGCCTTGTGGAATTCTAGTTTTCAAGTTAACTAAAATATATAACTTTTTTAATATGAGAGTTTGAACAGAAGTACCATTGTAGGGGCACAATACTTGTTCTAGAAGATATGGATAATTACATGAAAATCTCAGTGCCAGGCACAGAATGGCTCCCTATAAGTTATTGGTCAGAGAGGTCCCAGAGTCTCCCCAAACAACACAGGCTATTGCCATGGATCTTGGTTGTCCACATAACAAGATGGTAAGACTCTATTGCTGAAGACACCACTCACTTTGAATGCAAGACAGAGAAATCAGCCTTGAACTGACCAGGAAACTCCCTACTTGTTAGCTGACAGAGTGCCAGGAAGTGCTTTGCAGGCTGCTGGGGGTCAGATAGGGAGACATCAATGGTCTTACCTAGCAAGGGGCCCTGCATGATACAGCACTGACCTACCAACAAGATGTATGTGCAAAGGGGCATGAATCTTTTTAAAAAATTTTTTTAATTAATTAATTTACATTTGTATGAGTGTATTGCCAGCATATGTGTAAGTGTACCCATGTTGTGCAATGCCTGTGGAGGCCGGCCAGAAGAAGATGCCAGATTCCGTGGGACTGGAGTTACAGATGGCTGTTAGCCGCCACATGTGTGCTGGGAATTGAACCTGTGTCCTCTGCAAGAGCAGTCAGTGCTCTTAACCATTGAGCCATCTCTCCAGTCCCAGGGCATAAATCTTATGGGGGCAACTGACCACTTTCTGATTGAATATGAGGTCTGTTCCCCAGGAGGGATTTAATGCATAACACTGTAAACCTTGTCAAAAGCCAATGGCTGGGGAGATGACAGGCCCTAGAGAGGGAACTACCGTTGTTTTGCTAAATGGTCACGCTTTCATACTACATTCTAGCTACTCAGGTTTGTACTCATAGATTCATGTTGCTCTCAGCTTTGGTCAGGTTAATGCAGAGGCTCATATTTGGTCAAGTGCCAAGTGTAAATAGTTCTTAATGCTCAGCTGTAGATGGATCATCCACCTCAATCTTTCTACTTTTATCTTCAAAGTTGGCAAAAATTTGAGTTGTGATCGAATTAATCCAGCAGCACCTCCCAAATATGACACAAAGTATGAGTTCAATCTACAGATTTTTTTCTCATAAGCACTAGACCTAAATCCAATTCTAGAGAAAGTAAATAAAAATACCAAGTACTTCCTGAGGCAAATAAAAGGCACAAATCTAAAAATAGTGAAATCATCGTGATTGTAAGAAAATGTAAATTCTCTGGAACATGTTGCTTTGTCATAACTTGGAAAATGTGAAATAAAACCAAAATGCTTACTGTTGCAGGGCATAGCACCAGATAGCACTGGCCAAAGAAAAGCGCAGGCTGAGGAGATGACTCAGTGAGGAAAGCACGTTATGCAAAAGACAGGGTGCAGAGTATGCCTGTAACCCAATGCTGAGAGGCAGATCCCTGGGGGTTGCAGCTGTGAATTCCAGGTTCAGTGAGAGAAACTGTCTCAGGAAATAAGGGGGAGAGCAATCGAGGGAGACACCCAGCATTAACCTCGGGCCTCTGCACAGGGGCACACATATGAATATATACACACACATGCACACACACACACACACACACACACACACAACCTACACCATGCACACATAAAAAAGAGAAATAGTAAATAAAATGATATCAAATCTCTAAACACAGTTAAAGCTTAGACAGCTTCTAAACGTTAGAAGCAGATGTTAGACACTGAATGTGATAACTGAAGGAAACTGAAGGTTTGAAACAAAATTGAAGCTCATCTGGCCAGGGGGGTTCTCTCTGAGGCTTGTCCTAAGGGTGTCAGAAGGCTATATCAGGTGAAGCTCCCATCAGCCCCCTGACTCCATTGGCCACCTATGGCACATGTTCTGGTCCCTCATCTCCACCTGGTGCTCATCTTAGCACCTGGTACTTGATTCATGAAACCAAGGTGACCTGAACTGGAGACCTGTGAGGTTTCAGCATATACAATTTTTGTTAAAAGAGCATGGAGGGAGGTTGGGCATGGAGCATAGGCCTTTTATCCCAGCACTTGGGAGACAGAGGCAGGCGGATCTCTGTGAGTTCAAGGCTAGCTTGATCTGCATAGTGAGTTCCAGGCCAGCCAGGGCTACACTGTAAAAACCTGTGTCAAAAAAACAAAAATAAAACAAAACAAAAACAGAGACAGAGAGACTGAGAGTAAAGGGAGAGAACATGGAAGAGGAAGGAGAAGGAGAGTAAGGATATGGCTCAGTGACAACACATCCAGCATACACTAAGCCCTGGATTTGCTCCCCAGCACTCAGGAAGAGAAAATGGAGGAAGAACTGGGTGGTGGTGGAAGGCTGACGTGAATGTAACGATGGCTGTTGACGTCAAGCGGGGTGATCAGGACCCTAACTAGAGATGCTACTAGTAATAATTATTCTTGCTATAAGAATGATAATATAGGGGCTGGAGAGATGGCTCAGCAGTTAAGAACACTGGTTGTTGTTGCAGAAGACCCGGGTTTGAATCTCAGCACCCACATGGCAGCTAACAACTGTCTGTAGCTCCAGTTCCAGGGGATCCAACAGTCTCTTCTGTCCTCCACGGGCATTGCATGACAGGGGTGCACTTACCTACATGCAGGCAATACAC